TTTTACTATATGCTGAATTTTTACAGGCCCCTTGTTTCGTCGTACGCCTTTTCAAGCTATTTACATATAATGCTCTAGAGGAAAAATGTGAAGATTGAAATCACATCCAACGACGCCATAGGTTGATCGGATCGTACAGTTACTGTTTGGACGTCAGTCAGGAAGTGGGGCTCAAAATTTGAAGAGATTCTTGAACTTTGCGATAAAATATACGTTTGGGTCGTTTATTTGGCTAGGTTCTAAAATGGATTATCTCTTGCAGTGATGAGTTTGGTTAATGGGGTACTATACAGAACACGGCTTATGCTGTGCTAATGCGTTCCCTTTGTCGACAATCACCTAGCGAGCTCAAGGCTTTGAGCGAAAAGCGGTGTAGGTGCTTGTTTAGTTCATCGATCGTCCATTTGGACTGTGACGCAGGCGTAAATTTGTATGATTGCCAATTTAAATTAATGGCTTCAGACTTCCTGTGATAATCAGTCAGTATCAGTCAGTATGTTTGGAGTAAATGACAGAAGCCATTAAAAACTCAATTAAAACAATACAGGAATGCACAAATTGTAGTGAAATATGCAAAACGTGTTACAGATAGTGTTTTTGTGCAGAAACGCATAAAAATATTTTGGAAATTTGAATGGTTGATAAGGTGAGGCGTTTGCTTATGACATATTCGTCTGGACATCTTTAGTGTAAATAAAAACTCTATTGTAATCAAACGAGTAGTATGTTTGTTTGCAGTTTTTGTCGTCATTTATGTTAGGGGGTTGTTAGGCTTTAACAGATGATTGTCCAAAAGTCTCTTGAAGACGTCAACAGTGGGTGAATGCACAACAGACTCTGGCAAGGAGTTCCGCTATCGAATGACCTTTTGAGAGAATAAGGGTGAGCGTTGGTTTGTTCGGCTTATTTCCTTCTTCACCTGGCAGTCATGTCTTCTGAGGTTCCTTCTTGGGGCCATTTGGAAGAGATGCTCCCGCTTGACATCTAGACCAGTTCACCTTAGTAACTGAAAAGTTGCTATAAGGCCACCTCTGTCTTGTCTATAATGCAGGGGTGGACTCTGCAGTCTGCTTGGCCGCATCTCGCTGATACTCTCGCGACTTCTATAATCCCCTACTAGTTTCGAACACGTTGTCCCCGATGACCTTCTCTTGTCTCACCCCCATGATCCTATGTGATTTTTTCCCCCGACAAGGACCGCTCCGGACCATAAACATTGCTACCCCATTTCATTGCATGATATCATACCATATCAATCTAGCTACCCAGTTTAGCATTTTTATCCTATATTTTTTGGAAATCGGTGGCTCGGTGAAATCTGCCGCCGATTTAAATTTTAGGAGTTTCTTTCATTGCTTCTTTCTCAGTTCACCATATTAACCTAATATTCTTGACTATTATTTTACAAAAAGGTCAGCTGTAAATCGGATCTGACTTAATATATGTGACATACTACTCTTTGCTGTTGTTCTATAGTTGCTGTGATTTCCAACTTTGTATCTATTTTTACCACAGCACTAAGTTTGTAATGAAAGGGCCCTTTGGGCCTTAAACATGCAATTTATTTATTTAGACGATAGGTTGTACATTACATTTGTAATTTTGCTGGTTTCGGGGTTCAAATACATTGTCCTTTATTTCTTTAAAGGCAGGTAGGTATTCGCGCCATCGTAGATGGTAGTCGTTAATCAGCGCACACGTAGATTGCTTGAGGAAACGTCGTATAATATTCCTGTTGAATCCAATATTCTCAGAAGCTTCCTGGCGTGGGGTTTTTGACCTCACTCCATCACAAACTCATTTTGACAGAAAATGTAACTGCTCATCCTTTGCTGCACCTCGTGTGGGAAATCCTCGAGGTGGGTATTTATAGTTGAGTCACCTGAACAAAGGTATGTGTAATAAAATACTACTTGCAATGTTTCAGTATGTCGAATTTCCGCCTATTCAAACCCCTCCTTGACTATGTTAACCAACACGGGTTAATCTACTAGTTTTCTTGGTCTAAAGGCTTCCTTTTCAGTCTTCTTTGTGTTTACCACAGCCATTTCACGGCATTGTTTCTTCAGTAAAACAATTACAAGCGGCTTTATATCCTTCCTTATTGCTCAGCTATCAGGCATTAACCACACATTAACGACGCATTTACCCTTTAACTACAAATTCCGTACGACACTTGGGCTGGGGGACAGTTGCCATGGATCGGTCCTACCATAAACGCCTAACATGCTTGCCAACTGCGAATTGTGGGATGGACATCAAGCCCGAAATTTCCATAAATCCAGGTGAATAGGTGAGTCTCGGATATTTTAACAAGTAAAAAGAACATATATCAGCAGTCTAATTAGGCTGAGTTTTAGGAATCATACCAGAATATAGCTTTAAGAACTGTACCAGTTCAAAAACAACTGCATAGTTTCGCAGTCTGACAAGGGGAAGGAATGGAGTATGTGGGGTCCACGACTAATCTAGGTACCCGCCAGCAGATGAAGCAGACTGAACTCGAAATTGATCAAAGTGATCGCAAGGTTTGCAGCACCTTCTTCATCAAACTTCCACATTTACCGTATTCCAGGCGCATGGGTACCTCGAGCCGGAGTGTATATCCAGTAAAATGCAGTCTCTGACCACGAATTCTGCTCCGAACAAAGAGTACCATGCCTCAAGCAGACTCCTTTCTGCATGCAGTCCGAACATCTGGCAAAGAATTTATCGGAGGCACAATCTAAAGAGATCCGCGTCAGGTCGTCTAATAATCGGGGATTTCCTGGCAAGAGGTGTATTGAGCGCGAACGCAGGCCCTCCACAAATTGAGCTAGGCCTACCTAGGCGATTATGAATCTTGTCATTCTTTCATATCATCAGAAACATATGAGGAGACAAAGGAAGTCAACAGACAAGATTCCAACTGAAATGTTAAAGGACTAGGTATGAAGTGGCAAATATAGGACGTTTTAAATAATCTTTGAGTGGAGGGTGTCTTATTTTACTTTCAGTGCTATCATCTGTTAATTTGAATATAGTCTGATTGTGTATGTAGGGAGAAAAACTGCATTTAATAAGGATCCTGCCAAAAATATAATACCTCAACGTGGTTATAAGTGCGCCTCCATACGAGTGTTCTTGTGATAAATTTAAGAAGGATTTCGAGCTAGCGTTGGAGGGGTTAGTCTCGGAATTATTGCCTAGGTAACTCCTGCAATTTAGCAAGAGGCCACGCTTAGTACGCGTGATTACTGATATCAGTGTTCTCCATATTTAAAAAACGGCTCACTGCGTGGACAGATCACAAATGTTGCCAAGGAATTTGTACTTTATAGAAAATTAGGACTGTGTAAATAAATGAAAATAAAAGTGTAATGCATTTCTGCTGGACTGTAAGATTCCTCGGGTTCAATTTTATTTTATTTTCAGATCAGATACAGTATTTCGTACCGAGTAAAGTAGAGTCTTAATGATAGGTCAGTCGTTTGATTTTGTGTATTTACGCTGAACGTTTTCTCAACATTCGTTTATTCCAGCTTTGAAATGTTCCTTTCCAAGTCGAAGACAGCATCCTTGGTATAGAATAGTTTAACACATATAAAGTTTTTGCTCCCCGAATTTCATACAGACTTATTGACCTTGCATTTTAAATGAAGGAAGGAATTGGTGTATAGCCATCGGAAAGACAAACTATATTGGTTGTTTAAAAAAAATTCTAATCGATAACAATCTGTAGTCATAATGAGAATGAAGAGGGAGAGGGCATTGCTTCTAATCCTTAAGTTCTCCAATCTTAATATGATAACGGCAATATTTTCTTAACAAATATATAGTCACCAGTTCGCGACCAATGTCACTGTAAAGGATATCGGCATTTAAACCTGAAAATATTGTAGGTTTTTAAAATTCTGCATTTAAATAACGTTTTTCGGTGAAAGGAAACGCCAAACCCTCGTTCAAATCCTTTGACTCCGAAAGCCTAATATCATTCTGTTCGATGCTCGAAACAATCTCGCAGATCGTATGAGCATATTTCACAAATCCTGTGAGATGTTAAAAGCTCTAGGTCGCTTGGGATTGGCGATTTAGTTATCTGTCTCAGGAAAAAAATTGATACTTCACACTTGTTGGTGGAAAGTTTACCTCGGACAACCGATGGCCAACTAACCCCGGCTTAACTTCGATGACCTTGCATCCCTCAATTAATGCAGGGTTAGCTGATGACATCCAGTAAATCAGAAAAAAATTCCTCCCGCCCTTATTCCTGTCGGTTATTTGTTCGGTTGCAAATATTGGCACAACTGGGAATTTTTCGAGACTAACGCCGCTTGAACAAAGAGCAATATATTTTCGCGAAACATTACCCTGAGGAATCGGTGATCAAGCTAATGCATCTTTTTCAAAATCACCAACATTTCTGAGGGAAGGCCTTTTAGCAGGACTGCCTTGTGAATCCTCAAACATGCCTTTGACTTATAGAGAAAAACTACTTTCTTCTGCTCAGTAGCACAACTTTCCGTTCTTTAGCGAAGTCAGCGAACACCGCCTCCCCCAACTCACACGCGCTCGCCGTTGGTCCAGTTGGGGTTAGTGATGATATTAAAAATGTACCTCAGTGACCTCGCCCAAGGTCAGCGAACATCCCTTACTTACACGCGCTCGCCGTTGGTCCAGTAGGTACTGAACAGTACCTGTATCTGCGATTGCTCTTTGATCATGTCTCTAATGATGATACAGTGCTACTAGGCGGAAGCGTATTCGCACTGACTGACCTATCACCTTTTGTTGTACAAGCCTTTATTTAAACAAAAGCCCGTATTTAGACCAACCCTCCCCTACTGTCGGACTTTCAGTTCATCGGCTACTTAAAAAAACTTTGGCTTTGGTTGCAGCGACATCAACGTTCGACCAATCCCCTCGATTACCATCATCTGCCAAATTACTAATACTGGACTTTAGAGCAAAATGTTGTAAAAGCAAACTTTTGGTATTCATTAGCATCAACTCATTCTGTGTTAATGTAAATACTCAATCAAAATGTGTGTCAAAAGCGCAAGCATCAAAACCCATGACGTCTGGAGACTCGTGTGGCCGTTGCAATGCTCCTCCTTTGTGTAAGGCTCCACACACATGGCATACTTCATTGCGTGAGCAATAAAGGTGTTGTCGACAGTACGGTGGAACAGCCAACTGAAAGGTCCATGTGCATAGATCCCCACGTCCTCGCCGCCGTGAGTGGACCATGGGAGTGGTACCAGAGCCTGCTGCTGGTAATCATTATCCTGGAGGGTGGCGTCGTCCACTGTGTTCAGATCCTCCCTAGGCTGGTTTATTTTGGCCCCTGGGCCATTCATATAGGCCACAGGCACCAAACCCCGCCGGTCGAGAGCCTTCGTTTTATAAAAAAGAAAGAAATTGGCGAGGTTAAGCAAATCAATGGTGATTATAGTTCTATCATTGAAAGACGTGATAGACAAAGTATATGCAAATTTCTACGAGATTAAATGACTCCGAAATTACTACTTAATCGGATGCATTGTCGGTGTATGGAACTGACATTGACGAGTTCATTTTCTGCTAACTCTTTGAATGACGATTGACGCCTTAAGCTTCAATGCTAGGTAACGATGAGAGCTGAATAGAATTCAAATGTAATTGTGAATCGTTTAAGCTCAGTGCAAAGGGCAATGTATGGATTTATATCACAGCAAAATCAGTTCCCAATCTTTAGCAGAATTCTGATTGCTCAAGGCCTACGAGCTGCTCATTTGTTTTCAAATTGTTATGCTAAATGACAAATTTGCATACTTACGAAATGCAATAACTTCGGATAAATTGTACCCATAACATGTTGATCACAAAATAATTTCTGTCAAATGACATCCGAACACAAGTTTCTACATACTATATGCCGAACCGGAAATTTAAACTACCTGCTTCCGAGAAGAAGCAGATGTGATCGCTGCGACAAGGATTCTATTCGCCTGAAGTTTCGAAAGCCATCACGTATGCATCAGTAAAGACAATAGCAGAAACGGGTAATTTGTACACGGGGGGTGCAGTATTTATGGAATAGACCCAGTATACTACTGCATACCTATAAAATAAAGGGCTCTTCCCTATCGAGGATACAAATACTTGCCTACTCGTGCGCTAATGGCTTGATGACCGGCCTGCGGGTCGTGACCTGCTGAACTTTCATCACCCGTGCTGAACTTGGGCGGGAGGATTGATCGGCCATCTGGCTTCCTGACGCAGCCATTAGATGACGCGCTCACCAGTTTCGTTCCTCGAGTGGCGAACTGCAGTGGTCAAACCGAGTCAGCACCGAATATGGGTTGGGCAGGTCTTTGCACTTGTATATAGGC